ATTTGATCGCAAATGTTTAACCCAAGCCCTCCAGTTGCGTTTAAAATGGTTCAGTGCAATCGCTACCAAGGAAAATTTTGACCCAATTTAACAGACAACTTAAATTCAGTTTAATAATCAGATATTCGCCTATCATACATGAATTCCAGCTCTTGTATTAATATATTGAGTAGAAATATGACTTTCTTGCATTTCTGTTACAGTACTTACAGTGACGTCAGGTGCTTTTGAAACACCGTAATTACTCCCATCCTGTTTGGCAATATCTTGTAGGATTTGCAAGTTTTTTAGCATGCCATATGTCATTATTACCACTGTATTGTTCAGCTCTGCGTTCTTCGTTTTTATGGTCTGCATGATTTTACTTGCTGCGTCGTTTGGTTCACCATCTGTTAGAAAAGTAATGACTTTTTTCCTGGAAGGACCTTTCCCAAGAGATGATCCCTTTAGTAAGTCGAAGGCCAGAGTAAATGCCTTGGAATACTCCGTACCTCCTGTTTGAAAGAAAATAACGAGACAGGACCGTTATTGTTCATCACAATACAGTTAGGATTTCCAAATAGTTTTACAAACGGTCTTCGTCACAATTTTTTGGTGAAATTCTTTAAGGGTTTGCTCGGAAATTCGATTATCCCTCTCATCACGTTGTTTAAACAGTGCACCTATATATTTCCCTTTTCATCGGTAACGTTTTGATACTCAGCAAAGCACTTGAAACATTCCTTGATAAAGTTGCATATTATAAGTAACACGAGAAACGCGAAATAAGAATCTAGAGAAGTCGACCATGCAAAACTCTGGATAATAAAGACATGTAGATTAAAAATTGAGATACATCGAAGTCATGTTTTCACTGGAAATTTTTTTCCTTGAATGAATTCCTTTTTCATTCACTTGAACCTGTTGTTGCGAGCGAATAGTTAATCATAAAAAATCCGTACCTCTTGCAGAAAGTGTATCTACGAAATCCTTTAAGTATTTTATGTTAATCGGTGTGGCGTCCGCCAAACGTTCGCTGTGACAGTCTCTCCCATCATTGTTGTATCCAGTTGGTGTTTCGGCCTCGCTGCTGAATTTCACCAATCCAATCTGTCAAAAAAAATGAATCACATATGAAATAAATCAGCCACCCAATTGATCAGTCAGTGAGTCAGTGNGGGTATGGATTTTCTTTGCAGCTGGCCAGAAACAGGGTATCGATTCTCAAATAGGGTATACATGGTTTTTGTTTTCTAGTCTTGAATTCGGTATGTTTTTTAGAAGAAGCTACTTTTTCATCATTAAGTGTGATAAGTGAATAAAGATTGTGAACTTTAAGCTCAGTAATGAAATGTGAACTGAAACCAAAAAAAAAAGTGAACTGAACCAACATGATACGAATGTGGGACAAAGGAAAAAAAGATGTCATGGGTTCGATTCCTGTCGGGGACTCAGATTTTTACCTTGTCCCATGCTCATGTCATGTTCATCAATTCACTTCTCATTTTTCATCATTATCAATAAGATCATCAAGAGAAGCCCTTCACAATGTCTTTAACATCGGTCTGAACGTTAACTAGGGAACTAATTCAGCATATGGCAGGTCTAAAGATTGAGTTAAGGGCCACGTCTTAAATAGGTTACCGAATTTTTGGTCAGGTCGTAGACACTGTAGAAAAAATCACAGATTTTGGTCATAAATAGGGTGAAGGTTTTGGGAAACGGGCAGCAAACAACAAAACAATTTTTCTGGGAGTACCACTCGAGACTTGCTGTAGTCTAGTGTTTTTGTTATGTTTTCGTGTTACGACGTTTTTGAAAGTTGTCAGCGGCTCCCTGTCTTAGGTGCAAGCATTTGAGTATTATTTTCTTGATTTCAACTTCTAAAATAAATATACGAGAGTAATCAAGCGCTCAAGCATAGTAATTTCAAAAATGAACGATCGTGAAGTTTCTTAAACACTTATGACGCAGCATGGTGATGCTTAGTCAGCATGTATTTGCAGATACATGCTCAGATGTAGATTTATTTTCACGCTCAGATGTAGACTGGTTTTTAGCCAGTAAAACTAGTACTACCCATGATCAGATGTAAAAGTAATTATACTTCGTTTACTCTCCACGGCTAATTGAGCCAGGTTTGACCTAACAAAACGAAACAACAAAATTCAAATCATGACATATATTGCCGTAATAAACCTCTAGCGCCGAATAATTTGACATCAAGTTCTCCTTTCCCAGATCAAGGAAAAAGAGAAACGACGGAAAAAGGCAAAAACGGATATTTATATCGCACTCAGTCTAGTCCGAGGACAGACTCCGCGGTGCTATTGTAATCTAGAGATAAGAGTAAAGAATATCATCACATGGCTAGACCGGAGAAGTCGCGTCGTCTTGGCGGGGACCAAATGGTCGGTTGTCTATATGGAAAGTTCTGGAGGTGCGGTAGCATGGTTAATGCGCTCGACTGGGGACATTGTGTTGTGTTCTTGGGCAAGACGCTTTACTCTCACAGTGCTTCTCTCCACACAGGTGTACAAACGGGTACCGGCGAATTTAATGCTGGGGGTAACCCTGCGA